AAGTGTAAATGGAAACTATGACTCTTGTATTTTTCCAGATGAGCAAAGATAAATATCTTGGCAAATGAAAAGCCAGCAGGTATAGCATCAAACATGCTGCCCAGCCTGAAACATCGCCAAGATGCAAAAACCGCTAGGGTAGCATCTTTCATTTAAAATGATCACCTGGGCGTTTGTATCTCATCTATTAGCATCCTTTAAATTGGTGTTGCTACTCGTATCATGCTATAGTGTAAAAGATTTCAAATTGTAATAGATGCTTGTGGCTGCTTACATTTTCACATACCTCTTGAAATCAAATCAACTGAACTTTCAAGGCACTTATATCTGTAACAACACGTCTTCAAGTGCAGTATATGGCATAAAGGAATGTAAGAAACTGCTTCATACCTTACCAGATCTGAAACAAGGTGTCAGCCTAAAAGCATTGGGGCCCAGGCGCAACATCTCTTAACACTGACTTTCTTGTGAATTTAGAGTTACAACGTCTCCACCAAGTTTCTTTCTGATGTGTATGATCGCTTTTGTAAGTTTTTGGAGTTTGGGGATGTATTGGGTAGTGTGTGTGCATGCCAGGGGTTGTCAGGGTACGTGGTTGCTGAGATGTCTCTGGGGTTGCAGGGTGCTTAAGTGTCAAGATGTGTGGGGTTGCTGGCTTTTTGTATGTGTTAGGGACCATGGAGTGGGAAGGGTATGTTTCGGGGGGGGGGGCAGTTGCAGTTGCAGTGGGAGTGGAGTGTGTGTGAAGTTGTTGCTGTAGTGATGTGGAGGCATTTGAAGTTGTCAGGGTGAATGGTAATTTCTCAGGCTTCCAAATGTTAAACCACTCAGAGTATCATAGGCTCTGGCTCCCAAGGCAAGGAAGTTTCGCCCTTCCATGTATTTTTTGAGGGGTCCGGGTCCCCTCAATTTTCAGAGGGTGTTTGGATTTGGCCCCCTGGCTCTGCACGATGTCACACTTGTGATGTCCGGACATCATGCATGCGATGTCAGGACGTTGCGTGACATCACATTGGGGCCCCTCAATCTTCTGGAGAAGCGGGCACCTCTCCACCCTACCCAGGTATTGAGCCTGATAAGAAGAAGAAGAAGAAGAAGAAGAAGAAGAAGAAGAAGAAGAAGAAGAAGAGGAAGAAGTTTGTTTATTTATACCCTGCCCATCTGGCTGGGTTTCCGCAGCCACTCTGGGTGGCTTCCAACAAAATATTAAAATACAATCAAATATAATCAAATGAAAATATAATCAAATATTAAAAGCTTCCCTAAACAGGGTTGCCTTCAGATGTCTTCTAAAAGTCTGGTAGTTGTTGTTCTCTTTGACATCTGGTGGGACGGTGTTCCACAGGGCGGATGCCACTAACGAGAAGGCCCTCTGCCTGGTTCCCTGTAACTTTGCTTCTTGCACTGAGGGAACCGCCAGAAGGCCCTCAGTTCTGGACCTCAGTGTCAGGACAGAACGACGGGGGTGGAGACGCTCCTTCAGGTATACTGGACCGAGGGAGGCTAAATATGTGTAGGAGGCCAAGGCCGTGTGGTTGCCCTGCCCCAATATTCTTTGTGTAACAGTTCCTCCCCTACAACAGCCTTCATGCATATCCCCCCTTCCCATGCACACCCACTTTCATTAGCAATGGCCTGGGGGGAGGTTCTAACCAATTCCAGCCAAATAGAGCTGGAAGCCTTTACGTGATCAGAAAATTGACTTACCAGGATTGCCAATCTCGAGAAGACTTCTAACCTCATTCAAAAGCCCCTCCAGACCTTCGCACTAAAAGTTGGGTATACCTAGGCCATTGGGGTTGGGGCCATCAGATACAGAGCCTCTTACACCCATTGAGCCCTCCTGTGATAAGGCTCAACAACTGAATAGGGCTACCAACATACAAAGGCCCACTATGAGGGTTACTTCAGAAAATGGGTGAGATTATATGGAAGTGAGTTTTAGATGTATTTAAAAATAAAAAATAAAAAAAAAACCCATTCTCTTTCATCAGGATCTTAGAGTAATAATATGAATTGAGTCCTATGAATGTCTTGGAAAACACTGCACTTTGCGAAAAGTATTTTATTAATGAAATGAAAGAACGTGCATTGGAATTAAGTTGTACATGTTTCATTTGCTTTGATTTATTTTGCAATCAGAACCGCAATTTTGAGTAATGTGACAGGCTACATGGCACGGCTTTAATAAAAAATGAACTGCTGAAATTGCTGAAATATTGAAGCATTTAAGTCGGATAATCAAAATGTTTCATTTCACTTTACTCATAAAATTATTTATTTTTAGTGTCAACATCAGTAGGAGAAACGCTGAGAATGGACAGAGTTGTGAAGTCATTAGGAATCTGCATTTCCTCCTATGACACTTTCTGAAGCCTCCTACACACACACTTGTGTACATGCACATACATATACTGGGATTATATAGAGGCTGCTGATTAGATAGAAAAGATCTCTGTGATTAGCTCTTGCCATTCAGTTTTCTCAGTGAATGGAGAATCTCTCACCACAGTGGAGTGGTTCCCATATTGGATGTGCATAAATGCAAGTGTGTGCAGTTTTCTTTGTGAAAGCCCTTTAACCAAACTGCTGTAAACAAGGTACTAGAAGCCAAACAGTTTTGCCCACCAGAAAACCAGTCCTCATAACCTCTGGTGTTCATTAATCTTTGGAACCAGACAACCTCCCAATTCTGCCAGGCCCCCAAAAGATCCCTGTCTCCTCAAAACTTTCAAGGGAGAGCCTGCTGAAGTCCTTAGGACAGGATAGCAGCTCCTTAGATGGATTAAGAGAAAGGAGTCATAATGAGAGAGTAAAGTTGGATACTTGGCTGAGCTTCCAGCAATGAAAAGTTCAGCAAACCTTCTTCACTGTCCCACTGTACCAATCCTTTAAAGGGCTTCTTTAAAAGGCTATCCAAATTCTGGAGCAATCTTACCCAATTAAGCCCAGTTCAACGTTCAATAGGAGATGACTTGTACTCTATAGATTAAAAGACCCAGGCGGGCAGGGAGGGGGCCAGGAGATAAGTATCTATCAATAATGAAACACGTCTGCAGATATTTATAAAGGAATCACTCTTCATAATCAAATTTATGTGTCACATTCTGCCTCTTCTGACTTTTCTAAAAATTAGAAAGTTGTGAAAGGATGAAAGCAAGGGGCAGACCCTTAATAAAATGTGTCAAAAATATTAAAATATATTTCCATAAATAAATAATAGAGAAGGAGATGCTATTAACCCAGGGCTTCAGCTTAGTCATGCCCTGTGAACTGCTGGTCATTGATATGCAAATATTTTAAATACCTTACAGAATTTCAGAGCAGGTGTTGAAATCCTTGGTACGTGTATCTCCCCCCCCACACACCCCTATTCCTTCTCTCCTTGAATTAACTGAATTGACTTGGCCCCGTAGAAGACTGAGGGGGGAGAAAATCAGTTAATTTTCCTTTTGAAGCAGAACTTACCTAATTAGCACTTTCTGAAACATTATACGAACCGAGACACAGCCACCTTTTAAACTTCTCCAAATTTTGCAGTGCAGTCCTCCAGCCAAGTAATATGTACAACAAAATGCATCTCCCAAGATACAGTATGAATAAAATGCTTGTGTGGGTGAAAATAATATACAAAAAATGTATTGTATTAAGGAAAGTATTCTGCAAAAACTAGGCAAAGCTGTATCAAAAAAATGTCTATATTAGGGAAAAGTCACACTAAAATTCTGTAGACTTTTCATAATAAACTCTGATCAAATTGCTGTAAGGAAACCCTTGAGGAATGGCAAAATGGTGTGTAAATTAGGGTACCTGAATTTAAGATGCGAAAAATGAGAAACCACAATTGACATATTTACCCATCCCAATCATAGATTAAGCCTAATGCATATTTTCCAAGTCCTTTGGAGTATGAGGAGGAGAGATTGTTCCTGCCAGGTGGACGATGGTGAAGCAGACCCTGATTTGGAAACTCAGGTGCTCAGTGCATCTGTATCCAGAAGCCAGAAATTCATTCTGAATTGTAGCACACTCATGGATCGCCAGGTTTTGTAATAAAGCTGAATCATCCAGCTGCCTAGCTTTACAAGTGCAAGACCAAGACATTTTGTTGCCTGAAGTAAATGACAAGATGGCATCCTCACTCATTCCACATACCAAATCCAACCCCACAGGCAGCTGAATCTTGCTTGGTGATGGAGTGATCTCCTCCTCTGCACCTTAAGGCTACCTTAGAGCAGGCAGTTCAAGTCACATGGCACACACAGCTCTAATCTCAATACCTTGCCAGTGCTTCCCAACATCTGCTGCTGAAGGCAACCACTCCACTCTACCTAATGGTAGGACCAGGCCTGACAAATATGAATCACATGCAGGTGGGTCATGGAAAGAGATAATCAGTTGGTGTGAGGAATGAGGAATTAACCCACTATTACTGATGGGAAACTCATGGCCCTCCAGATGTTGTTGGACTCCAAATCCCATCATCCTTGACCACTAGCCATGCTGGCTGGGGCTGATGGAGTCCAACTACATCTGGGAGACTGCAGGTTCCCCATTCCTGCTTTAGATTATCAATGGTGCTCATCTAACACAGACATTGGGGGTAACAAACACTTGGGACAGCTTTCAACATTGGGTCTCTCATCTTTCTGGAATCCTGCTCAGCTTAGCTTCCACTTTTTCCTTCCCCAAATTGCTAATCTTCATCTAAAGAATCCAGCAAATATATAGTGTTGACACAAAGGATGTTTCTATTCAGATAAGCTTTGGATTTTTACATGTCAGAGACTTGTTTCTCAGAACGTATTTCAATAATAAAGCAGAGATGTAGAGAGGAAAAATGTGAAGGGAGAGAAATCAAAACAAAGGGGGAGGGAACTCTATGATGATGTAAAGCATCTAGGTTAACAGATTTTATCTGTTTTGGCAGCTTTCTGTATTGCATTGCTTTATCAGTCCACCATATATTTCCAAAGGCTTGGAGGAAAAGACCAAACTCCTTACACACTGATATTGTTGTCTCTTAGCCTGGCATCCAGAGATAAATGTCTGGAGGGAAAGCAGTGAAAATGGAATACATTTTCTCCAGAGTACAGGCAGACCATACTTCTCCAGAAGTATCACTGGACAATTTTCTCTATACAAGTCTACCATTATAGCAAAACTGAAATATTTAGTAATGTGGTACACCGAGTGCTTATTTCCAGACATGTCTTTATCAAAAGAACTGTGCATCATATCGCTTAATAGGAGTTCAGAATGACTAAATTGTAGTGTTCGATGAAAGCTAGGAATGGAATCTAGACTAGAGAATCTGGGGAATCTATGAAAGCATTTGCAGCTGAGGTTTACTAGAGATACAAGATGCTGTGCCTTGAACTCTGTGACCGCAGTTCTTCATGGGAGGGTTCTCCCCCCCACACACACACCAGAATGTATCATTTCTATACTAATGGAAGTACAAAAACCTTCTCCACCAAATGAAAAATGGGGAGCAGATGAAAGTGCCAGCTTGAAGAAGAGGAGGAAAAGAAGGTTCTGGGAGTATTATTTCCTCTCATCAAAAGGCCTCTTCTTGCCTGAAAATAATGCTCAGATCATCTTTTCCCACCAGGATGGTGAAGTATATATTCAGATCCACCCACCCCCAGTGAGACAAGATACTCAAAGTACCATTCCTGCCATCATCTCTAGCATCCTCCTCTGTTTACTACACACTGCCTTTCCCACAGTAACTTGAGTTAGGGTAGAAGGCAGAGGAAGGCAGGATTGGGTATGAGCAAAATTGAGGCAGGGGACTTGCTAGAGGTGGGTTGGGCCTGCCTTGATTTTGCTCACTGTAATACAAGCAGGGATGCTATGCATAGTTAAGAAGCCCTAACTGAATGCCTACTTCCTCCCTAGTGGAATCAGCCACTGAGTTGGGTCTCTTCCCTTGATGATTAAAAACAAACAATTCCTTAACCCACCAACCCAAGGTACCTGCTGGATACGCTGCTGTAAGAAATAAGAGCTATTTGCGTACAATCCAGTTGTAACTAGAAGGAAGCACAGGTGTTCCCCATGCAAGTTGCCCCCCTGGCTCTTGTAAACTTTCAGAGCAATGAATCCTCTTTAAATGCCAATGTCACCTTTGTTCCACTTTGTGCCATTCCAACTGTGTGCTTGCTTCAGGATATTTCAAGGAGGCCTGCAAATAGACACAGATGCAAATGTATTCATCCAGCATTATTATTAATCTGCATCACATTAAAGGCTTTAAAAAAAATAGAAAAGACACTTGCTGTGTGAGTCCGTTAATTTCTTGCTGAATCTCATTCCTGATCTAACACAAGGCAAAATACCTGTTTTGAAAAGGGACCCAAAAAATCTTGTTTTAGTCCTCTATCAGCAAGTGGGGACAAACACATTTAGGCAGTAAGGTAAAAAAGGTAGAGGACCCCTGGGCGGTTAAGTCCAGTCAAAGGCAACTATGGGGTGCAGCGCTTATCTCGCTTTTCAGGCCAATGGAGTTGGCATTTGTCCACAGACAGCTTTCTAGGTCGTGGCCAGCATGACTAAACCACTACTGGTGCAATGGAACGCCATAATGAGTGCCAGAGTGCATGGAAATGCCATTTACTGAGACTTCTGGGGTGGCGCCACCGGCAATGGCGGACTCCCTCTGAACTGGAGGGACTGGCTCCGCGGTAAACTGGGTCTACTCCGCTACGGCGAAGCGGGGGCCCCTTCAAAATCACAGGCGGATGAAGCCTGTGACCGTGGGACTCGGCGGGCACCTTTAGCGCCCCCCCAATCCGCTAAGGAACCCACTAACGGGCTCCGAAGTGAGGAGGGGGAAGCGGCGTGGTGCTGTGAGTCAATCGCTATTTCTGTGGAGCAAAGCTGCATAGCTGCTGCCAGAGAGCGCTGCCTTCTTTTCTGGGACAATTTGGACTTTAAAACAAACACCCGTGAGTACTTAGAATTTGAACAAATGGGATATTAAATAAAGATTTGTGAAAAGGACAGAATTGGACTATATAAAAAAAAATCTATTGAATTTGGTACAGAGCGGGAAGGGCTAAACAGGAAGTCACCCTTCCGTTCTTTTGTAAACAGAACAAAGCAAAGGCAATTCGCACTAGAGCTCAGAAAATCGTTTTTAAAAGAATGATTTCAACATTTTAAATTGGGAATATTTTTTTTTCTGGACTATTTGAAGTAACTGCAAAAGGAAGTTATTTTCCTCCGTCCTGATCCTGGAGCGGGGGTGTCAGGACTGACGTGAGTTTACCAAGATAATTGTTCTTTGACAGACAGCTAAAAGAAGAGAAATTTTGTGATTCTACTGTTCCCTTTCGCACTCTAAAGGAATATATATGGACAAAGTATCCTATGTATTTTGGGGAAAAAAGGGAAACTTTGTAGCAAAAATAAATATAAGTCTTCCCCCTAGGGGGAGCTTTTGAAACTGTAACTAACTCCAGGGAATTGACATCTGTTACAAAATAATTGTGGGAAAGTGTTTGATTGTGCAGAACAATGTTTTCAGAAACCTTGGTGCGCGTTCTTTACAAAACAAATGCTCTACTGGAAGAATTACATGATAAGGTGAACCGGATGGCCATTTCGACTAGAAATCTTAAACAGGCAGTGGAATGTCTTGATCAGACTGTGGGAAAATATGTGGAGCCTACTCAGGATTTAAACCAGGAGTGTGTTTTGACAGAACAGACCCAACAGAAGTATGATCCTTCGGAATGGACAAATGAACTTGGAAAAAGCCAGATCTGGAAAGGGAAAGTTCGGTGTGGCTTGGAAATGGGGGGCTGGATTGACCCCCCTATGCTGGGATGTCTGGACTTTTTAAATATGGTAATGGGCTGCGATATGTTTGGGACTGTGGGGGCTCTCAACTTTGGAGGGCCCTTGAAACATGCTTTTAAATACTATATGGAATGCAGCAATGAATATGGAAAAGGGTCTGATCTGACGAGAAGGGTTAAAAACATTACTAAGCTGGAGTTACCACGAGCAAGAGACATTGTCAAGTTGGAGTTATTACGAGGAGATAAGGGAAATTACAGTTATAAGTATGAAGAAGAGCTGCGGAAGGGCCATAGAAGTGACTTGAGGGCCTCGGACATAAGGTTACCGGGTTAATAAGGACTGACAAATCCCGGAACCAGGAGAAAGGGACGTTGGATAAAGATTGGACTTGTTTATATCTCTCTTTTTTTTTATTATTAGAATGTTTTACAAAGTTGATGAATGATAGAAAAATGTTGGAAGAAATTACCTGGCTTTAGTAAAGATGCATAAAGAATTATGAAAGAATATTATGATCACAAGAAGCTGGTAAGGTTAAGACTTAAGTTTTAAATTTTAAGGTTTACTTTATTATAGAAAGATAGGATTAAATTAGTCGAGGGTAATGTAATGATAGAATTTTATGAAACATGGGGAAAGGATTTGCTGGGATAATTAATAACTAGAATACAAAAGAAGGGAGGAGGAGGAGGTCTAAAAAAGAAGGTATTGACAGTTAAGGGTCTGAAAATAATGAACTTATTTTGTTTTTTTCTTTATTCTTTTTTCTGTATTTTCTATTTTTTGTATTTTTATTTTTTGTACTTTTACTCTTTGTTTTTGTGTAATTTTTGTTTCCTTTGAAAATTTTAATAAATATCATTAAAAAAAAAAGGAAATGCCATTTACCTTCTCGCTGCAGCAGTACCTATTTATCTACTTGCACTGGCATGCTTTCGAACTGCTAGGTTGGCAGAAGCTGGGACAGAGCAATGGGAGCTCAGCCCGTTGCGTAGATTCGAACCACCAACCTTCTGATCAGCAATCCCAAGAGGCTCAGTGATTTAGATCACAGCAGCAGGAGAATCATAAAATGTTTGGGTGGTATCCTACTAAACAGTTCCACTAACGCAAAGGGTTTTAGCTGTGGAATTGAACTTCCCTGCCCTCTTCTATCTCCACAAACCCCATAAATCTGTTCCAGGGTTTCTTCCAACCCTCCAGAGAAGATTTATGGGGCATGCAAGGAGATGAGAGGCTGGAGAGGGTCTATTGTGCAGCTAAAACTCCTTGCTTTAGCTGAACTCTTTAGTTGGATGCTGCCCTTTATGTCAGACTCCATGCTCCAGGAAGTCCTCAGCCATGCACAAAATTTAGTATCCTGGCTGTTGTGGTCCCTGAGACCCCAATTGCATCTGCAAATGTTTTCAAGCAAACTGCACCCTGACTTCAGCTGGTGGCCATATTTAATGGCAACTGACAAACAAGGACCTTTAGATGACCTTTCTCTGTTTATGGAAAGGTCTTTGCAGAATGTGTTGTTGAGGGTTGCCTTCCACACTTCCGGTGCATAGTGTCACAGGTCTCCTTCAAAAGAATCAATACAGTCCTCAGATTTGATTACCAGCTTCAACCCTGAGCTATCAATGTGAGCTACAAGCTTGCCTTCTGTGCAGGAACTGTGGCATAGAGCTTTGTGCCATATGAAAATGTCACAACTTATGGACAATTACTGCTGTTCACATAGGAAGAAGTCCAGTGAGGCAGTATATGCCATCAAAACCCACAAAATTTATGTCATAAAATCATGGCTGTGTTGTGATTCCAGAATGTCATACATCTATGATGCAGGCATATATGTGCAGAAGAAAGATGGTACTCCAGTAATTAAGAAATTTGATCAAACAGTGGCTGGGAGACTAAATGCACAGTTAGTCTGGGAGGAATATAACAACTGTTTCTTCAACAGTGTACAACTGTGCCATGGTATTAGAAAATTAGTCAGAATATCAGTTTTCTCCCAGTTGGCACTCTGAAAATCAAATGAATCAGAAATCTCCCCAGAGTCCCTTGTCCACAGACAAGCATGGGACAAGCATCCAACTGCTTTATCTGTCCTGTTCATGCAGTTGTGAAATGTGGTTGTTGTACATAAGTGGCTCAGGTAGTAAGTGTTATGGTTGCAAAGTTTGGGGGAAGTCCTACACAGATTAGAGCATCCTAGGACATATCAGAAGAATGCTGGGACAATGTAGGAGCAATTCTCCAATTTACCATCATAATAAATGTTGAGACTTTCTCTCTGTTTCTCTTCTTTTCATGTTGACGCTATTCATATTGATGAGTAACTTGACTAGACATTTATTGTCTACCATCTCCAGCTTATACAAAATGTGATATTCTTTCTAAAGTAGACATTATTTTTTTCTGAAGTCATCTCTATAATTTCATTTTGCATGGTGGCAGTATGACGGTCTGTTCTGATATTCAATCATTTTTAGTTGGCCTACGCTAAGATAAATTAACAAAGTCTGAATGTTTTACTATGCTGGTTTTATTTAATGATTTCCAGATTCTAGAATCTGTAAAGCAATTCTTTATATATACATGTTGGTGGGTGTTTTTACATTTATAATGTGTTATTTACTGATTAATCTATTCTGATGATAGCATAAACTGAAATGGTTTCTCTGAAGCACTAGTGAGTCAAAAATTTGCTGTGTTCAAGGCCTAATCCATTGATATAGTGTATATGTAAGATCAATTATCTTGCTGTGTATATTTGATCTTTTTTGGCATCAATTTTCCTCCACACACTCATTCTGGAAATGATACAGAGGCAACTTCCCAGCAGCTGACACAATCACCTTAGTAGTTTTGGGGGTGGTGAAATAGCAGAAATAATAGCAAATTTATAAGTGACAAAACCTGATAGAATAAGATTTCGGATCTTTCATTGACTTTCTAAATGTGTCACATTTAACACAGGCAACAGTGTTATTATACCATGAAGTAAATCATGCTAAACTCAGTGGGTCTTACTTCTAAATAGCACTGTTCCTTACTGAGCAGGAATTCAATATGAATGGCTTCCTTGTAAGTGCTCTTAGGATCATGGGCCTCATCACCTACAAAAAAAACTGTGAATGCAATTCTGCATCTCTTTATTAAAGAATAAATTCCACTAGCAGTAGTGAGACTTCTGAATCAAGGCTTTCAGATCTGCAGTAAGAATATGAGTAAGAATGTTGACAAAATGCCTTTGGTACTGATAGGCTACTAGACTGCCATGCTGGTAAATGAATGAAATATTTTCTTCATTTTGACAAATGGCTCAGCCTGCAATCAAGATAAAACCTGCCGTTGCTAATATAAATCATTAAGTGTAAAACACTATGAGGAGGGCAGGAGGGGAAGACCTTTGAATATCTATCTATCATCTATCATCTATCTATCTATCTATCATCTATCTATCTAGAGACTGGGCTCATTTCTTCCTGTGAAGTCTCATCAAGTCTAACACACAATACAGCCCCCGCTGGATGCATAGAGATTCTGAAATGCCCCCTAGCAAAACAGTGTACCTTATGGGAAACAGAATAGTTAACTCTGTGCTTAGAGTCATAGCATGGCATCAAGGAAACATCATATGTCACATGTGTATTGATAGCACAACTCCCTCTTGGCAATAAAAAATAGGGAGACAGCCTTAGCAGAATAAATCCATGAATAGGGGAACTAAAGCTCTGAACTGCTTGTATTCTGGAAGGAGGCCAAGAAATTCGGACATAGATCAGTGGTACTCATCTGGCAGTACTGAAGACTTTTTTCTTTGAATCTCAGACTGGGACTGAATCCTTTAACCACAGAAAGACCTTTTGCGTAGTCCCAATATCCTGAGACTGATCATCAGGCCCCCTATTGTATTAGACAATGTTGGCAGGAAAAGAAAGCAAGGAAATGATGGGGAATGCTCCGATTGTTGGGTCCAGTATTGATATACATAGAAGAACTACAGACTGGAGGCCATTGACTTGATGATAATCTTGGTGGTTTGTAAGAAATCAACAAAATCAATTGCTAATTTGGAAATAAAGAGTTATAATTATATTGATCTTTCCACTAATAATTTTTATTAATTGTAATAGTCTAAAGGATTTAGCTTTGTACCTTGTTTTATAATGTGAACACTTTGTAATACCTTGCCAGGGGTAGGGAAGGGAGACAAAGTGGACAGGTAACAATTCTTGTTACTATAGAGGTGGAATGTTGTGGTATATAGTTCAGGACACAACAGCTGTGCATCATTTTCCTGCCCAACAGTTTCCTTATTGACACAATACTCTTACACAGTGCTAGATTAATCTCTGGCAACTATTCATTTATTTAGTTAGAATCCAAGCCAACCTCAGTGGATTTTAAAGATTCTTATTAAACTGAGGGGTTCTTTGTCCTAAGTTCCAATACCTTGGCCTTGCAGAGTTTTCTGCAAGAACTTGCTGTTAGAGGGGTAGATTCAGAAGGCAGAGGCGGCACACTTCTTTGATTTATTATATTCAGCATAAATGCATTAGCCAACACACTACATTGCTGCGGGAAAAAACATGAAAGCAAACTGAAGCATTGCGGAATGAATGATGAAAGTTGTTCAATAGAGGAAACATTACTCACAGCTTCTTGGGGTGACAGTATGGGAGGCCTTTTGGAGAAAAAGATAGGGGGAAAATAGGGAAGTGGGAAAAAGAAATCCAGTGTCAGCAGTTGATCTGGCTGTGGTAAAAGACATCACAGTTCCCATTGGCAACTGAAGCATTTTACTATCACAATGCCATTGAGGTTTTTTTCTTCTTTATATACTGTGAATTACTTTTGAGTTTCTGGAAACCAAGTGATAATTCTACACTCACAAAAACTTTCATTTTCAACTCTGTCTGAGTTACAGCAACATTCTTCATTCTTCAACACGTAATACCATTGGCTTAAACTTAATCCTACGTTTGCTGACTTCCAGTTACCAGGTTAAAATAGTTATAATCAACTGGACTGTGTATAAAGTGACCAAGCTCTCATTAACAGTTTTATTTCCAGTTGTCAGAGCTAAAGAAATAAAGATAAAACTTTCAAAGTTTGATGGGCTTTTATAATACCTGAATACTTAGCACTAAGGAAGTCCAAGTGCAGTCCAATCCTCCACAGTAGGCCAGGATGGTGGCACTCACCTGACCTCCCATTGTCCACGTTGCAGCGGCTTACTGGAAGGTAAACCAGGAGGCGAAAGCTGTGGTGAGGTCACTATGGTGCAAACATACCAGTAGAAGAACCAGATGGATTCTGCTGGTGCATTTGCACCATGCCAACCTCCTCACTCCTCCCCCTTCTACCTGACAGTAAGTGGCAGTGATGTGGTTGGTAGGAGGTCAGGTGAGCACCACCAGCCTGCTCACCTCTACTGCCAATCTCATACAGTGGTACCTTATTTCCCAAACTCAATCCATTCTGGGAGTCTGTTCAACTCCCGGAACCATTTGAAAACCAAGGTGTGGCTTCCGATTGGCTACAGGAGCTTCCTGCACTCAAGCAGAAGCCGTGCCGGATGTTCGGCTTCCAAAAAATGTTTGCAAACCAGAACACTTATTTCTGGGTTTGCAGCGTTCAGAAGCCGATTTGTTCAGCTACTAAGCCATTTGAGATCCAAGGTACAACTGTATTTCTCTTCGGTTGCAATTGAGGGATCGTGTATGTGTGTCAATTTGGCCCAGAAGCCTTTCATTGCAGATTCCCAAACTAGCAGATTGAGTGTTAAACCCAGCAATTGTGAATCAAATATTCAGTCATGGAATCACAAGAAACAAAGTATTCTCTTTCTGCTCACTTTATCATCTGTGGAATGTGAAAAATTACAGCAACATGACAGACATGTTAAGCTGCTTCTGAAGACTAGTAGGTGGTGGTGGTGAGTGGGATTCTATTAACTTTAAACTCCTTAAGAACTGCTCTTTGTAGTGTATCTATCAAGTTAGAGAAGTATGGTTTTATTTGTTCGGCAACCAAGCCATTTGAGAACCAAGGTACAGCTGTACATGTTTATTTGGAAATGATTGCTCCTATATTCAATGGCTCTTACAGTTAAATATTTGGAAGAACACAACCTTAGTAAGACTTTCCAGTTAGATCATTGAGGTTGTTTCCCTAAAACATAATCTAGAGGAGTTCCCTGCCAAATGTCAAAGCATTGTTTATACATCACTGTAATCAATAGCAATGACTTCCAGGAATTGAACATAATTAAATTAGCAATGTATAGACTTCGGTCTTCAGTTGTTTGTGAGGGAAAACATAGCACTCAAGATGTCAATGTTATAATAACTTACCCTGGGGGGGAAATTGACTTGTTTTTCTCCTTTGGGAAGTTTTCAACATTACATTATTATGGCAGACATTGTGTCTAAGAATGAGTGCTGGGTTGGATTCCTTCCCTGCATGTTAATTGCTGAGGTCACAAAAGATGACATCAGAGTCAGTCAGAAGTGACCGGTCAGGGAAGGGCCCTGGATGAGAGGTAGAGCAGAGGCTTTGCATGCAAAATTTCGTTGGTTCAATATCTGGCATCTTCAGACAGATTTGGGGACTGTTTGTGTCTGAAACCCTGACTCGCTATGGTTGAGTCACAGTGTGCTCTACCGCAAGGGTGTGTGACACCATTATGTTATATTTTTAACAAGCCAGCTTCAGTCCTCTGTGTACCATACATGATCAGGGCATGTCTCTGAAAAAGTCTGCAGACTACCTCTCATTGTTCAGAGAATAAGCTCTTCTCCGAAATGTGGTGCCAAGTCATGGTTTGTCAACCTTTGTGAGGCTGTGGGCAGATTTGCAAACTAGGGTAACTTGTGAGCACCATAGACACACACACACACTGAAGCCAAGAAACCTATTTCTATTGACTTTAGTAGAACACTTCTTTCAAATATATTTTCAGCGGGAGGCGGGTAAAACACTGTGAGCACCAGGGAAGCCCTCTGTGGACACTCTGCTTCCCAGTGTGACCCTGACTATATTCTAGAGACTATCTCCTGTCTGTCTGATAAAGCTGGATCAGTCTAGCACATTTTAACCAGTACAAGGAGTCAAGTGTGTGATTTTGTATGTTTGCTCAAGACCAAGAATAGCCCACCCAAGCTATTCAGGAGAGCAAAGAAGATTAGATCAGAACAATTCAAGAAAAACACTAACTAGTGAAGGCTTAAGTGTAAGCAAAACAGAAAGGAGGGATTGAGAATGGATGATGGTGCTACAGTGCAATTGAACTTCAGCTTCTAAGGAAGGGGAGGAGGAACAGGGGGATCTGCAGTAAAACTGAGAAAGCCAGACAAAGAGAAGGGGGCAACTTGCCATTTCACTGTAAAATGGATGAATCAAAGCCAAGTTGAAACCATTGTTGCATGTGTCTCTAGGAACCTGAGGGTGCATGTCTTTCACTCACAACCCTTAAACTCTTAATCCCTCTGCACCAGAGATAGGGAAACCTATGGCCATCCAGATGCTGTTGGACTACAACTCCCATCATTCCTGAACATTAACCATGCAGACTGGGACCAATGGGAGCTGGAGTCCAACAACATGCAGAGATCTGGTTTCTCATCCCTGAGTTACAATGAAAGTCTCACTATGCTGCATCAATAGAAGGCCCAAGGAATAGATGGCAATGCTCATATGTGGGCATCTAAGCTTGGGTGAGCATGTTTAATCAAGTGCAGTGGTACCTCGGGTTAAGTACTTAATTCATTCCGGAGGTCCATTCTTAACCTGAAACTGTTCTTAACCTAAGGTAGCACTTTAGCTAATGGGGCCTCCTGCTGCTGCTGTGCCGCCAGAGCACGATTTATGTTCTCATCCTGAAGCAAAGTTCTTAGCCTGAGGTACTATTCCAGGGTTAGTGGAGTCTGTAACCTGAAGCGTATGTAACCTGAAGCGTATGTAACCTGAGGTACCACTGTATAAGAGAAGGTGCAATACAGAACCTAAAGTAAATGGTGGACTCTTTCCCGCATGGGTTTATTTTTAAAAAGAGACTAGAGAAACATCAGCCAGGTGCAGTTTCAGACCAGGGAATCCTGCTTTTACTACTGCTTAGCTGAGGTGGCCCATGAAATCTCTTCTTATTCTATGAATACTTCCTTCTGTTCTATAACACATAGCAAAATCCTTCCTCCCTGATCCCCGGTAGGGTATCTTTGCTGCCCCTTCTCGCTTCCCTCTGAATTATTCTAGCATTGCCCTGGAGACATCATTATGAATTCAATTCGCTCCACAGTCCTGTGTCAAAGGATACCCGGAAGGATTATGCTGCCTCAAAGGTTTAGGAATCCTTGTTTTCTTTCTGCCCTCCATTCCACATGGTATCCTTCTGGATTAAAAGAAATGGTTAAAAATTAAAAAGCAGCGCTTGTAGCTGAGAAACACCTTCTTTGGAGGTGCTGTATGAATTCCAACAATGCAGCTGATGTATTTTGCATTTGAAAACAATGTACTGCGTTTCTCAGCTTGCATATAGGGGTGTGTGTGATAGGTAGCAAAGGATGTTTTTGTTATACAGTTACTGCTAAACCTGTTGAAATAATAACAGCAATGGATCATGATTCACAATATTGTCAGGCAGGAATTGCAAGGCATCTACATCTAAATTCTAAAGTGATGCTGTCGCTGAAAACCTCTAACTAGCAAAAAAAGTGGGGGGGGAGGGAATGCGGTTTGCATGACAAATCCAAGTTTGCAGTAGATATTTCATGGGGATTTCAGCAGTGCTGTGGTAACAGAAGAAGCCCTCTATCATTTCTTTTAAGTCTGTGTTTCAACTCTTCACTTAGATCATTCTTGCATCAGTTCTCCATTTCATAAATCTTCAACACAAATCCATACACTTGAAAATACATGTTCATTTAGGTTGCTTTGAAACTTACCTCTGACTTTAAATCGAATTTTTATTATAAGGCCTGAATGTAAGGCCAACCTTCCTGTAACTGCAGCCACCTGAAAATCAGGGTCAGTTCATTACATGGCACTATACAGATAAAAAAATTGCTCAGGCTTCTGAGTCACTGGTGGAAAAGTAATGTCTGAAGCATGCCCTAAAATGAACCCTTAGATATGACCATGGATGAAATCCTCAAGGGGATGTTTCAGATGTCATGTGTTGAGCAGAGACAGGGCATCACACTCTTATGCCAGGCCACATCTTCCCCTTATTAAACATTTTCTCTCCTGGCTGCTATTAAAGGAAACCTCTTGTGCCCTTCACTCTATCTCAGGCTCAGCTACTATCAAGTAACTTGCTAGCTCAGTCCACATTTAAAGGCAAACCTACCTAATTTGCACTTTCGAAAACAACATGTGAACTGGAAAACAGCTATCCATCGAAAACCACACTTCTCTGAATTTTGCAATGCAGTTCTCCATCTAACTAAAAATGAATGTATTATGGGATTGTTTCATAAAATGCAGATGTAAGTGAATACAGCATGAAAAAAATGCACTATAATATGCTTCGCCAAAATATGTACCGTATTTTTCGCCCTATAGGACGCACTTTTTCCCCTCCAAAAATGAAGGGGAAATGTGTGTGCGTCCTATGGGGCGAATGCAGGCTTTCGCTGAAGCCTGGAGAGCGAGAGGGGTCGGTGCACACCGACCCCTCTTGCTCTCCAGGCTTCAGGAAGCTATCCGCAAGCCTTGCAAGCCCGGCGAGAGGTCCCACGGGCTCGCAAGGCTTGCGGGCAGCAGCCTGCAGCCCACAAGCTCGGGGGACAGCAGGGAGGTGCAGCGCCACCACCCCGCTATCCCCCAACCTGGTCTGGAGGCTGGCGGGGGGGGGGGAGAAGCAAGCTTGCTTCTCCCCATCGCCAGCCCCACAAGCTCGGGGGATAGCGGGGAGGCGGAGCACCGCCACCCCACTATTCCCGGACTTGGTCTGGAGGCTGGCGGGGGGGGAGAAGCAAGCTTGCTTCTCCCCATCACCAGCCCCACAAGCTCGGGGGACAGCGGGGCAAGCCGCTGCCCCACGGAGCCTAGGGAGGCTGTCCCTGAAGGCAGAAGAGGGAGACGGAGTGCTCCGTCTCCCTCTTCAAGCTTGGGGATGGCTGCGCAAACCTGGGGGGGAAATAAATTTTTTTTCCTTGATTTCCCCCCCAACAAACTAGGTGCATCCTATGGGCCGGTGCGTCCTATAGGGCAAAAAATACGGTATATGATGAAATGCTTTGCAAAATGGGTGTATTAGGCTAAAGTGCATACAAAAATATGTCTTATTTGGAGAAATTCACACTAAAATGCTGGCAAATTTTCGTGAGGATTTTTTTTTTTAAAAAAAGTAAACTGAAGTGGAAATACAAAGATCTGAATGTTAAGATTTGAAAAAAGAGAAATGGAGAGAAATAGAAATGGTTCACCCATCTCTAATGCTTGCAGAGTGGGATAGGACCTTTGGAGAAAGAAAACAACATGGCAGAGGGCTGCACTGTTGGGTTTAGGCCTGGATCTCACACGGTGTCTGCCAAGGACACCCAGACCTCCTCTGGTTCAACTGAACAGGAGGTGAGACTGTTGCTAGGGAACAGAGCTTCTTCACTTCTTATTCTCAGGCATTTGGAGGCTGAGTAAATGCCCCTCTCCACCACTTTCACGTTTCTGCCTGGGTTACTCATACAGGTCTTGAGGAAAGCAGCTAGGAGCAGGAAAAGAAGGCTGCTTTGAAGGTCTCAGAGATTACTGTGGGTTCTTTTCCACCACCCCCCCAAAGTGCTGTAGCAATTGCAGTAATTCAGAGATGTTTCCTTGAAAGAAACATTGGGATGGGAGTATTGGAGACGCTCTCCAAAGAATGATGTAAGGGAGTGAGCCTGGCTGGCTGAGAGGGTTCCAGAAGAAAACTAGTGTCTGTGGTAACTGATACTTAAAAAGGCCACCATGTTAACTCTCATATCAAGATACCAAATCCAGATTTATTACAAGTGCCAAGGGGCCAAGCCACTGCTTATATAGTAATAGTTTGTCATTTGTGCCCCGCCCATCTGGCTGGGTTTCCCCGGGCACTCAGGGTGGCTCCCACCCAGAATATTAAAAGCACAATAAAACATCAAACATTAAAAACTTCCCTAAACAGGCCCGCCTTCCGATGTCTTCTAAAAGTCAGATAGTTGTTCATTTCCTTGACATCTGATGCGAGGGTGTTCCACAGGGCGGGCACCACCACTGAGAAGGCCCTCTTCATGGTTCCCTGTAACTTCGCTTCTCGCAGGGAGGGAACCGCCAGAAGGCCCTCGGAGCTGGACCTCAGTGTCCGGGCAGAATGATGGGGGTGGAGACGCTCCTTCAGGTATACTGGGCTGAGGCTGTTCACTTTTCCAGCCACATATGATGGCATATTTTACAGGTATATTTTATTATTTATTGTTATATTGGTGGTGGTTGTAAACTACTTCACTGCTTTCCAGAGAGTAAGGCAGTCTAGAAATAGTTTTCTAATTAAATAAACTGAGCAAGCAAAAATAATAATATTAGCTGCCACCAAAAAGTGCTGAAGTCACAGACTTAATTGAACTGCATTGCATTTAGCTTCAGCATGCTCCAGAATGGTGTTTGCCTCATAGCAGGCTTTTTGAGAAGCTCTCTGATCTTGACAGGCACCACACAGGCATATTTCATTGTGCCTCTTGGCTCCGAACACTTTGGGCCAAAAAGGACAATGCACATTGAAAGAATCACCGTTTGGCAATAATAGCACTTGGACACATATCACTGTTATGCATTCCCCGTTTCTTAGCCAGTGGGCCCAATGTGACAGCACTCTCATTTATTACAATTATATCCTCCTTTTCTCCAAAGAGCTTAAGAGGAGGAGGTCTTTGCTGTTGGAGGCATTGGGCAGGATTAATCTAACTGGTGAACTAGCAGAAGGATGCACAAGGATTCTTGTAGTGCAGTGAGGCTTCTCCCCATACTCAACTCCTGACGAACTACCTCAAAGCCACTCTGGGGTGTCATAAGCACATGGGGGGGGCAACGTTCCATCTGGTAAGCAGAAAAACTTGTGCTGATGGGACAGCTATATTAAAATGACTTGAATTCCACCCTGTATAGCTCTGAATGGCAGTTGCTGAAAATCACAGGTGGGGAGAATTTTTTACCCCCCACCCAAACAACCCTATGAGGTTTGAGCTCATGCACCAGCACAGAGAAATCTTTGCATGGGTGTAATTTTGGGTGCATAAGCAATGTGAACCAGGACTTTCTCCTTTTTCTTCTTCAGGTACCTAGGAGTGGCAACCAGTACCACACTTTGAATGCCTTCATATTCTAGGCATGAATTACAGAGAAAATACCAGAGCAACTCCTTTCCCTTCCCCCCATGCCCCCGCTCCTTTATTACATATCAGCAGAGAACCTGGGCAACCTGTTACAGAATGTCAGTCACG